CACAGGTTCTTGGCAACAGAAAAAATCCCAATTGATGGTCTATGGCACCAAAGTATCACTGCTGATGCCCAGTTCTGGATTTCATTTGCACCAGATGAGCTGGAAGAAAAGCAAGATGTTCCCACGCCAACTGTTAGATCTGCTGGCAGTGCTGCAAAGTGATGCACCTGCGGAGCAGCGTACAGCAATGTTGACAGCTTATCAGTAGTGGACCTAAATCAACACAACTTAGATGTATAGTGTGATGAGTGGAATGGGCAAGTACAATACAATACAATTTGCATTTATGTAGCAGCTTTCACATTAGGAGGACATCTCAAAGAGCTTAATGCTATATTGGTATATTGTGCAATCCATCTTTCTGGAGACTGTAAGTACAACGAAGCCACATGACCCGTAACCTACATTTCCCCTTTAACAATATTGCAAAACTATTACAATTACAAAGAAACCCCATTGTATGTATTTCAGAAGTGAAATATTTTTCAGTTTTGGCATTCTTTCCTATGTTCATTGAAGACAACTTCAAATTATACCCGTTAGTAAACTGCTCACATCGGTTGTTTTGCCTCTCATCACTTTATCAGGCTGTGTGACCACAACAGCAACATTGCCTTATTATAATAATTTTAATAATAATAATCTTTGCATTTGCTATAGCGCCTTATCATGTCATTGAGACGTCTCAAAGTGCTTCACAGATTATATTGTAAAGTGAATTGACTGTATATTTTGTTGGCGAAACGCGGCAGCCAATTGTGCACACAATAGTGTCCCACAAACAGTCGTGGATTGAGTGACCAAATTTTTTTTAAGGGATTATTATCCACAGAAAAGCGATCCCCCAATCGGCTAAGAACTAAGTTCCTACTTTCTGCTAAGTAAACAGAGGTGTGTGGAGTAAGGAAACTTGCCCAATGTTTTGGTCTAACCCCGGAGCTACAGGACTCCACAACTCTGATTGAGAGAAAGAGGAAGCGTAGACTCGCATTTTACTTTCTTACCTGATCAGAAACTAGTGTGGGACAGTGGAAAACTGGTGCTCATGACTAACGTTCATTCTTTGTACTTTGCTGTGTGATTGAATTATATTAATTGGAGAACATTTTGTTGCACACACAACATTTGGCAAGTACAATAAAGTGTAATGACACTTGTTTTATCCTTTCTACCCCACATCCGCGCCATGACCCGCTCTGCCCTCCCACACTTCCACAACATCGCCCGGCTCCGCTATTGTCTCACACTGCAGGACGCCGAGACCCTCATACTCGCTTTCATTACATTGAGGCTTGACTATGCAAACTCTCTGCTTGTCGGCCTCCCCAACTCCTCCCTCCATAGGCTCCAGATAATCCAGAACTCTGCAGCCCGTGTCCTCTCCTGCACCAGGCTCCGTGACCCTACAACCCCCATCTCGACCGACTCCACTGGTTTCCCATCATGCAGAGGATACAGTTCAAGATCCTGGTTCTCATCTTCAAAGCCCTCCATGTTCTTGCTACCTACCTACCACTGTGACCTCGTAACCGCTTACCATCCTGCTCTCTCCCTGGATCAGAGGGCTCTGGTCTGCTTCAGGTCCCCTGCCTTGCTCGCCCCACCATTGGCAGGCGGGCAGGCGGGCCTTCTGCCACTCTGCCCCCACTCTCTGGAACTCCATCCTGCAGTCCCTATGCCTTGCATCCTCCTTTGCCTCCTTGAAGACCCATCTCGAGACCCTCCTCTTCGACCGTGCCTTCGGTCACCCTGCTTCCCCCCTGCCCTCCACCCTCCCCGCTCCCGACCCCCAGTGCTAGTCTGAAACTCTGACTATCCAGCGCCTTGGGACGTCCTCCCAACATGAAAGGCGCTAGACAAATGTAATTTTGTTGTTGTTTTCTTTTCATTCAAAAAAATTCTTAAACTGCATAGATTTGAAATCACTGTCGCTAGAACTTTACAGACTCTATTTAAGAGCAATTTATAGGTAGTAAAGTTGACTGTTTTGTGGACAGTTACTGATGTAGATAGATCTGGTTTGGTAGACAGTGTTGATGTAACCAGTTTGAATATGGCAAAAATATGATTTATATTTCATAGGTGGTGTGGACTGAGTGACAATCCCAGTTACTTTCTCATATTCTATACCATTCTATTCCTCAAATGGTTAAAATTGTTGGGCACAAAATAAACCCAAAGCTCTTCACTTTGTTACATCATTACGTTCGTGATTAAGATTTTTAGTGGACTTTCTACAGTATGCCAGCTGATTTTAAGAACTTTTGTCGTGATCCACAGGGAAATAGGAGCTGGTTAACTTACCTATTGCAGCCTGCATTTTGTATTTCCTACAGTGAAATAGCATTTAACATTTCGATATTTAAAGACCTACATAAATCTCTATAAATAATAATAAATAATCTTTGCATTTGGTATAACACCGTATCTCGTCAACTAATATCTCAAAGTGCTTCACAGATTATTGTAAAGTGTAATGACTGAGTATTTGTAAGTAAGCAAAAAGGAAATGATGTAGAATACATTGTTTTAAACTTGGAAACAAATGCTGCAGTGCTGTATTTATTGCCTAGAAATTTCTGAAGTGTAGCAAGTTCCTTTTATTCATTTTAGAATAAAAAAATTAAATCAAAATCAGAGCAAGCTTGGGGTAGCGTCAGCAATCATCAATTTTAATTAAAATACTCTTAAACACCTCAATACATAGATGAGAACATAAGAAATGCCAGACGAGAAAAGACTAAGGCCCATCTAGTTCACCTTCCACCTTCCTGGCGGTCGTATGTACATATGTCCCAAACTACCTATGTACTATATCCCATAATGTTATTTCCTAAAAGAGAACTATCTAATCTGTGTTTGAAAGAATCAACATTTTCTGCTTCAACTGTCTCCCCAGGAACCTGTATTCGTGAACCTGTGGAACAGATGTCACTAATGGTACAGTTATGATATATTACTGAACTGTAATTCTGGGACAAATTCACAAACTTTGGTATAACTGCATTTAATTGCAATATGTCTATCCCATTTATGTCAGAACTGAATACATTGAGATGTCATGGCAGCTAGTCATTAAATTATAACTAAAGAGCTTGCAGTTTAACATTTACAACAACAAAATTACATTTGTATAGTGCCTTTCACATGAGAATGACGTCCCAAGGCGCTGGCCAATTGGTGTTTCGGACCCAAGCTGGGGATTGGGGAGGGTGGATGATAGAGAGGGAAAGGAGGTGATCGAAGGCACGGTTGTAGAGGAGGGTCTTGAGATGGGTCTTGAAGGAGGCAAGGGAGGGGGCAAGGCGTACGGAATGTAGGATGGAGTTCCAGAGGGTGGGGTTCGAGTGCCAGACAATTGCCTGCCAATGGAGGGGTGGGCAAGGCGGGAATGTGAAGCAGGCCGGAGCCCACTGAGCGGAGGGAGTGGGTAGGTTGGAAGGGGGTTAGAGGATCCCAGAGGTAGGGGGAGCAAGGCCATGGAAAGCAGTGAAGGTGAAGACCAGGATCTTGGACTGTATCTTCTGTGTGATGGGAAGCCAGTGGAGTCGGGCGAGGATGGGGGTGATAGGATCTCGGAGCCTGGTGCGGGAGAGGACATGGGCTGCACAGTTCTGGATGATGTGCAGCCTATGGAGGGAGGAGTTGAGGAGGCCGACAAGCAGGGAGTTTGTGTAGTTGATCCTGGATGTTATGAATGCGTGTATGAGGGTCTCGGTGGCCTGTGGTGTGAGACAGTGGCGGAACTGGCTGATGTTGAGGAGGTGGCGGAATGCAGTGTGGGACATGGCACGGATTTGGGGTAGAAAGGATAGTTGAGGGTCAAACAAGACTCCAAGGTTCTGGACTGGGTTAGTAAGGTGGAGTGTGCAACCATGGATGGTGATGCTGTCAGCTCATGAGCTGAGGAGTTGCTGACAGGAGCCAATCAGGAGAGCCTCGGTCTTGTTGATGTTCAACTGTAAAAAATTAGCTCTCATTCAGGACTTCACGTCTGACAGACATTCTGTCAGCACAGCAGTGGTCCTGGAGTCGAGAATGGAGGCAGAGAGGTAGAGTTGGATGTCATCTGCACACGTGGAAATTGACACCATGTCTGCGGATGATGTCACCAAGAGGGAGCATATAGATATTGAAAAGGAGTTCCAGAGGATGAGAACAGAGTGGCAGAAGGCCCGCCCGCCAGCTGAGTGGAGGGAGCAGTTGGGTGGTAGGGGGCTAGAAGGTTGCAGAGGTAGGGGGTTGCAAGGTCTACCTGAGTATTTAAATGATGAGTACAAGCACCAGCTAAGTTGAAACCCCCAATTAGTAGGAAATAGAATAACAACTTGCATTTATGCAGCATCCTTCATATGGGGCAGTGTCTCGGAGAGCTTAAGTCGAGTCATTTTAAGTTTATCTGATGCAAATGCGGTCTATTTGAGGTCTCTAAGTAAAAAAATAAAGTCCCTCTACATAATTCCAGTCTGACCAACATTTTACTGTTGTAATAATCATATTACAGAAAGTCTAAATGTTTCTCTCTACATTTCCAGTTCCTTTCCCTCCCTCCATGCTCCATGTTCCCTTTCCCTCCCTCCATGTTCTGCTGGCATCATGGTGGCAAGTGGATGTGTGGTCAATTGCTATCTACAACAACAACAACTTGCTATTTTTATAGCGCCCTTCATGTGGGGTAGCGTCCCAGAACATCTACCACAGCTCCAACAGTTTGTTACCTCTGGCTGCTCTGCCTCTATCCCCTAGAACTCCATCCCACAGTCCCTCTGCCTTGCGCCCCCCCCTCCCTTGCCGCCTTGAAAACCAGTTTCAAGATCCTCCTCTTCGACCGTGCCTTCAGTCACCCTCCTTCCCCTCCCTTCCACCCGCTCCACCCTTCCTGATCCCAACCACTAGCTTGGGTGCGGATCCCTGACTGTCCAGCGCCTTGGGACATCCTCCTGACATGAAAGGTGCAAAACAAATGTAATTTGTTGTTATTGTTCTACACTTCCTTATAGCAGGCTGGGATGACTCAGAAAGGATTAGCAGAAGAGGGTCACTGGCTGCTCTCTCGAGAGCCTTATGAAGGTGAAGAAGAAGAAGAAGAAGAATGCTATAGAAATTAAATATAAAAGACATTGGCAATGTAAATGGTTGAATTTGGCGCAAAGAAATCATCTGTGTCTGGTCTCTGTCCTTAAATATGCATAAAAGCCACTTCATGGCTCTTCGTGCGACACTGTAACACAAAAACTAGCTGCTACATTTGCGTACAAATACTCGATCACTACACTTTACAATAAATCCTGTGAATTCAGACGTCCTGCCATCCTGAAATATCGAATGCAAATGCAAGGATTATATGTTTAAATAAGAGCTAATCTTGAATCAGAAGAGATTCGATTTGTGGATGATGTGAATTATGTTTATCACATTAAGAAAAAACAGTAAATACATATTTCTACCTATTCTAATTAAACCAGATTCCTGTATTTCTAATCAACTTTGTACAATATTGTAAAATTGTAATAATGCTCTTTCTTGGGGATGCACAAATATATTATTCTCTGCAATATTACCAATAGATAAGAGAAAAACAGCAGTAACATCATAAGCTTTTCAAAAGTACCTTAGCAAATAGATTCTCGATTTTCATTAACATTCTACAATTATTTGATTCTAACTAGCATCAGTCATTATTTTGAGTGTATTTCTTCTCCAGATATGTTATATTGCTTGTCAAAGGAATCATGTGTAGAACAACACTAATTGGGCAAAATGCTTGCTCTGATAAATTCGAATACACCCACTGCTCAAAATGAACTTTGGAATCACATTACAAGATAAATTAGTACAATCCACCGCTGTTCTTTTTACTGTGCCAAAACCTTCAGTTTCACACCATTTGTACAAAAAACAGGGTATGCTCTCACCTTCCTGCGTGGGTGGCCACAGTGAAGAAGTTCTTGCCCCTCAGAATCCTATTACATTTCCTGTAGCAATTATGCTTGGGAACTCAAGCCAGGTTGTGAAATTAACCGTGTGATGACTGCAGCAAACTACTGCATCCAGACATTGAATTTTTAATAAAAATCACCAGACTATATTTTTTTGAATATTAATGTAAATACTGCACCTCACCTTGTTATCTCTTTTCAAACATGTTATCAGACGTTGAAGAGCAGGAATAAGACAATGAATACAGCAAGGCAGGTCCAAGGAAAATTAAAAGGAAAATCAAAATCACTTGCTTTCACATCTCTGTACTGCTGCCATTGCAAGTACATTGTTGGCAGGAGCCAACTAGGAGTGCAGGTAACCTGTTTACTTCCCTTAACTGTGTCCAACACACGACAGAGGAGAGGAAAATGAAATACAAATGTAGATCTCTGATTTTTCAATGAATTTGTGATGAATTGGAACAGAAACGTGATGCGATGCTCGGGAAGAAGGGAATCCAGACACTTTTAAAAATGAGCTGTATGACAATTCATTTTTAACATCCTTTCTTTAACTACTCAATTCAAGATCCTCATCCTCACCTACAAGGCCATTCACGGCCTCGCTCCCTCCTACCTCTCTGACCTACTATCCCCCTACCTACCTGCCCGTACCCTCCGTTCCTCTGGCTCCGGTCTACTCTACATCCCCCACCCCACCCGCCCTACCATCGGTGGTCGGGCCTTCAGCCTCTCAGCCCCCAGGCTCTGGAACTCTATCCCCCAGTGCCTTCGCCGCCTCCTCCCTTTCCTCCTTCAAGGCCGGTCTCAAGATCTTTCTCTTTGACCGAGCCTTCAGCTCCCCTCTCGACTCTCTACCCTCTCCTCGCTCCCTCCCTTCCCTCCCCTCACCCTGACCATTTACCCCCTCCTCGCTCCCTCCCTTCCCTCCCCTCACCCTGACCATTTCCCCCCTCCTCGCTCCCTCTCTTCCCTCCCCTCACCCTGACCATTTCCCCCCTCCTCGCTCCCTCCCTTCCCTCCCCTCACCCTGACCATTTCCCCCCTCCTCGCTCCCTCCCTTCCCTCCTCTCACCCTGACCATTTTCCCCCCCAATGCTCGGGTCCTGACCCAACTGTCCAGCGCCTTGGGACGTCCTCCCGACGTGAAAGGCGCTCTATAAATGAAATCTTGTTGTTGTTGTTGTACTGAGCAGTGACAGGATGAACAAATCTCCCAGAAATAGTTGTTTGATAGATTCACTACCACTTGTTCATTCTCTTTTTCAATCCACTTTGGGGACTTGAGGATTTTACCATCTTCTTTGACTACCTGGACCATGGTTTGTCATGGTTCACATTTGGTGCCAGATCCCTTTCCAGTTCTCTCTTTGCTTCTCAATCTCTTTCATTTCAATCTATTTTTGTATATTCTTCTGTTCAGTCCAATGGTCAACCCCCAATTTTCTCCTTAGAAGCTTCGTAAATATTCCATTTATTGTCTTAATCTCCCTTTTTGTTTTCCTGTAACTATGATCACCACTCATTGTAATCATCCTGACCAAATAATAACAACAGTAACTAAAAGAATACTGTATTGTTGAGAGAAAAAAAATCTGTTTTCCATACTGACTTGTTATTGTACTGACCATTAATTTAGAAATATCCTGCTTTCAAGCCAAATTCCCTGTTTTAGATCTCAATAATTGCTATTTGCTGAATTGAATATCTTTACAAAAATGTGTTTGCAACTCCCCCATCTATGTAATTAAATATCCACTTAGATGATATTAATCCTTGCATTTGATATAACACCTTTCACATGGTATAATGTTTTGAAGAGTTTCACAGTGATTCAACAACAACAAATTAACATTTATGTAGCGCCTTTCATGTCGGGAAGAAATCCGAAGGGGTTGGACAGTCCAAGGTTTGCACCCAAGCCAGGATGTAGAGTGCAGTGACTATTTTATATACAAATTGTGTATTTTATAGCAAGCATACCGAGATGTAGAAGAAGTGTAAATCACATACGATTGGATTACTGATAATTTATGAAAATCATGTGTGTTTCAACTCCTAACTCTTCAAATAAAAGTTTGCTGATTTTGTCAGAGTTGCTCCTTTATATTCATCATACAATATCTTCCGTGTATATTAATTTTCTGGCCTTTTTGCATAGATTCACTATCAAATTCAGGAGCGGAGCTGAAGCATTCTGAAAAGCTATTGCAAATGTGGGGTTAAGTGGATGATAAATTATCATTCTCAGCAAGTTCACCCCTAAAAGTAATCGCACAAAGTGGCTTTCAAACAAAAATGAAAACTGCTCTCTTCAAACATTATCAGTCACTGGTGATCATACAAATTAACTTCCACATTGTCCACAATGAATGTTAATTGCGAAAGAAAAATAAATTACATAAATAAACAAAGAGGAAATAATGTAAATTAAATTACTATGTGTAGTATGTAGGAAGTTTACAGTGCACAGGGAGACTATTCAGTCCATTGCTTATGTGCTTTTGCTAGCTCCCTACTCTCTGCTTTTATCCCTGCTCTTTCCTCAAACTGTTTAGTATTTTTTCTGAAATACTGTATGTATTTAATTCCCTTTCAAATACTGCTGGGCACTCAATTTCAACAGCCACATGTAAAGCCACACTATAAAACTCCTCTGCATAAAATAAGTCTTCTAACCTGTTCTATGCTAGGCTGCATCATTGAACAGCCCAAACCATTATATTATTTATGAATTTGTAGTCAATTGCTTATGGTAACCTTCCCTTTCCTGGAGCCGTTGTCAATACCTGATCTGGTATGAAAAATCCATTTCTGAGTGCCAGATGAAGGAAAGCATTCACTGTGAACCTTTTGCACTTTCTGTTTATTTATTATGAAAGCATCTTGTGCCCGGTTAATTGCTAACCTTGGAGTTCAGCACACATGTCAGAATGTCAACTTATGATTTATAGACTTGCTGCAGGGAGTTCTGAATTTTTTAGAAGTAACCTGTTTACTGGTACATTACAATGCATGCAAGTATTTTTATGCTTGATGTTGTCATTCAGGTGTCATAGTCAAGTGGTAAACCGAAATAAGCAAAGTGATCCAGAACTGCATAAGGCTTTCCCTGGTGTTTTTTTTAATCTGAAAGGTGTTTACGTAAATGTACGCTTGGGTTATTGTTATTCTGGTTTTCTTCATATTGCTTAATACTTTAATGCTTTCTGTCTCCGAGCATTAAGCTCTGAACACTCTTGTGACCAGATTTGTAATAGGTACCATGTATATTTGTGTGGCAGATTCCCCTCTCTTTACGGATGAAGATGTTCTCAATGTGTACTTAATTTTGTGGCAAGAGTAATCCTCCAAAATATAATTAGAGTGATTTTCTGCTCATCTGTAATTTGACAGAATTTAGAGGGAGAGAACATTATATTCTCTGTTAGTCTGTATGTTTAGCTATGATCAGAGAATCAACCGCAATCAATAATTCTATGACCTCCTCTCATTTTCATTTAATTTCTCTTCTTGAGATTAATCAAGCGCAATAGTAAGACTTGTGTTAAACATGTCAATGTTCCCTGTTATGTTTTTCAAAAAGAGGTGAGTTACAGTTGTGTGGGTTCCTGATAAGAACATGATGTGTTCAAGACACAGATATAAAAAGCAGGATAGAACATGGTGAATGAATTAGCCTGATTTACTGTATAATTGGAAACAGTTGGATGACGGTTTACATTACTATGTGTCGACACTGAAGTATTGTAGCATTTGCAGTTTCAGAAATGTGCTCATTTATCAGGTAGACGGAAAACAGAGACTACTGTACATCTTGTTTGACCTTTGAATGATCTTAGTTAAGCGACAGTTTAAAGGGTGCTAATTTGTTCCACAAGCCCAATAATTCCACTTTCAGACCATAAACCTTATTTTAGGGGTAATTTTGTGGACCATCAATAGTTTCACCACCAACTTAATAGGAATCAAAAACAGTGTTTTAGGCTGCAAGGGCACTTTTACATTGAGCTCTGCACTCTCAGATGTGGATATAACACAGCAGTAAATGATTACTGATACTGCTGCTACAGTTAGTAATGTAACAATGCTGCCAGAAACAGAATCATTTAGAGAAGGCAAGTTTAATATATTTTCAGGTCCCAATTGCT